AAACATATTCTAGTTGTATTGTTCTCAGGGTTTTTTTCAAAGCACGTCCTATCCAACCCCAGCATTTTTTTGTCACCTGTCAGTTCACTGGAATTTGGTTAGTTCTTTCACATAGCTCAACATCTGTGATTTTGTAATACCATATACCTCTATTCTGCGCAGGTATCATAAATGTTTGTAGTTTGTTAATAATTATTTTAGTTGTTCCATGTTTGGATGGTGTAGGATGAGATATTATATTATCACAATCAACGTCTATTCCTATGCGTGCTCAGTCCTCCGAGGCAGCAGCCTCTCCAAGGTACCTCAACTGAGTGTTCCCATGAGAAGTCTGTTAGGTTATCTCCTGTCTTTACGTCGAAGACGGTGTAGACATGTTTCACCCAGCTTAATTCCTTGGTCACGCAATCGTGTTAGTGTCATAGATTCAACATTATCCCCCCCCCCCTTTCCCCGCCTCAACCTAGTCCGTACAGCGTTGATGAAATCAACCCTGTCCATGCTTCTTCCCATTTGTATTGGTTCATTACTTGCCAGCTGGTCAGCTCTTTCTTTATCATTTTTTCCTGGTGCACAGATGTGTAGATCCAGATGATGGAGGTTAACTGCGACTTCCGAATGCTTTCTACCCATTCGAAGCGTATACTACCAGTAGAGATGTTCTGAAACATGACACAATTACAGTATGTGTGACCGCTAGTTCTACTACCTCTCTAAGTCTTTTGGAAGCAGCAATTCTCTCCATGGTCACGCTTAGCGTAGTCGTCTGGTAACCCCAGCTATCCTCTTTTATTGTTTTTCCCTGTGTGCTGTGTAATGCCCATGCTGACCTTGACCCGTGCTTCACGGGCCCATCTGTGTAAATGACGACGTCTTCTGTGCGTTAATGCTGATCCTAAAATCGGTGTCTAAAGTGGCAGATATCTGACTCCTGCAGTACCTCCCCAGTGTTATGACAACATCAGAAAATTCATGCATGTCTACTGGTGTATCCGTCCATTATGTTTTTCTAGGACTGTCCCGGTATGGCACTGATGACCCAAGGATAGCAGGGAGAGTGGGGGAAAAAAAAGGGGGGGGGGGGTAATGAGAAAACCCGTTCTCGTGGCTTTTCGAGAGTGATGGTACGAGGATCATATGTTTCAAAGACATAAACTACAGGATTAAGATGTGCAGGGCTCGTGCAGACCTGAAGATAAACTCAGCTCTAAAACTCCTTTGCACCAAATGCTTTTCAGAAAAAAGGGGGACAACTTACTAATCGACCCTGTGACGTCAGCAGCATAGTCCATTAGCTTGAGCCGGTCGTGGTAGAGCTGACAGTGTGGATGGCCATTGAATATTCAATTGGAGAAAAGACCAGCCCGTAGAAAAGAAGTACTAGTAATCTTTTTTCGATACTGGAAGCTGCCATGACCGTCATTGCCGACAGACCTTGCGTGCTTTTGTTATCACATGATCGACATGTTCCTTGAAGGATAAGCTACCTATTTTTACTTCTGGCAAGTCGTCTTGACAATGTGATTGTTCAGAGAGAACCATGTCACTGATGCATTTGAAGTATTGATGTAAGCATTGAAATCAGCATACCAGAAGGAAATTCTGCTGAGTTCGTTGTGCATTTCGTTAGCGATCTCCTGTCTGATTCTTCGCTGCCGATGTATCAAAATTTGGTCAGCAAATGACAACGTCCTTCCCTTTCCACCCAGTTGCTGCTCAGTGATCATTACGGTATACACATTGAACAAAACTAGTAGCAGTGGTGAACCCTGCGGTAAGCCTGGTGAATTCTTTTCGATTCTGAGGACCAACTACCACACCTAAGCACTACCTTTCTCTGGAACAGGGCGGCAGCAATCCAGCGGATTAGAACGGGATTTACCTCTGATTTGAGAAGCAGGTGCATTAAATACTCATATGGCATGTAGTTTTCGCCGGGTGATGATTTTAGCCACAGACAGGATTGGCAAATTCTGGCGCACCGCCACGAAGAAAACAGTATTGAGTGTGTGTGAGGAGGGGGAAGGGGGAATGGTGTGCTGAGCCTCACAAATCTGAAGGTAAAAAACTGGGGGGGGGGGAGGGGTCTTTAACTCTCGTGTGATTCCAGTGCTAACTTATGAATGCGAGAGTTGGGAAGCAACGGTAGCACAAGATTTGAAAAATAATAGACAGTTTAAAGAATAAATGTCTTAGAAGAATACTAAACTGTCACATGACAGATTTCAGATCCAATACGCAAATAAGACAAGAGACTAAGCAAGACAATGTATCCAACTTTTTAAGAAAGCGCAGCTGGAACTACACCGGCATGCACTCAGAATTGATAAGACAAGACTTTCCCATTAAGCCCTCATATAGACACTAAAAGGGAAACGAAAATTAGGAAGACCAAGAGAGACTCTACCTAGAACCATCATCAGGGAAGGCTCACAAACATCTAAGACCTAAAGCAGGTGGCAACGAACTGCCACACATGGAGAGCTACGACCTCTGCCTTATGCGTCACCCTAGGCCCGAGAGGAAAGAATTACTCGGCCCAGCCTCCACAAACAAATTGTGGGCGGCTCAAGCGGCCTGGGGCACAAGGTTCCAGCGCCAATGGTTGGACATCTATTTGACTTAATTTGCACTGTGGAGACGGCACTTGATTATAATGCGAAGTTTGTTCCGTCTCCGCTGCTGCCACCTGTTGCCCCGCCCACGTGACTTGGTGTGCAGCAATGATGACTGCGCATGTCCAAACCGTTATATTGGAGAGAAACAAGATGGCGCGAAGAGGTGCATAAATGGGCAGCAACTAATTCCTTTCTGATACTCTGCAATTCAAAGACGTTTGTTCTGCTTTGTTTTGAGATCTTTCACTTTTAAGGTAGTTGATAAATTAATTGATGCAAAGGGCACGACGTGAAATGCATAGCTGTGTATCGAGTATTTTGTACGTTGTAGTTGACCTTCCTCCTAACTGTAAAGAACTTGGAAGTCTTCAGCTTAGCTTAAGAATATGATGTGTAGAACGGACTTTGACAGTGTCTAAGAAAAAGACACCGATAATTTCAGTTTTGTTGTTAACAGTGAAGTGTATTTCATAAGAATGTATGATTTTAGCTGTAAAGGAGATTTGCGTGTTAAGGTTTTTTTTTTTTTTTTATAGAAATAGTGTTTGTTGTTGAGTTGTCAGGTGTCATTTTTTAAAATGGTTTTGAAACTGGAACACTTTGTGAAATTGTACGGAGCATTCATTTGACAGTACTGAGCAGTCACCGTGAGAGTGCAATCAAAAGAAGTTAAATCTGAATAACATTGTGCAGCAATGGTACCCTCAGCACCTATACACGCATTTGAACTAGGGCTCCAGAGTACAGTGTGTTATGTTGTTACTGTTAGTGTTACTGTTTTTGATCATTTTGGTCATTATTAGTATTATTATTATTATTACATGTATGATGTATTATTATCACATGCAATGTCAGTAATGATGTTTTTAGTTTGATATTATTGTCATTCTGCAAGAATGTTTGCATTTTGATACTTTTTTTTTCAAAATAAATGTTTCACCTACATAATGAGCAGAACCGATAGTCATATAATCACAAAGGGGACAACTTGTGCCTCACTGCCTATTTGGTACACTTTTTTTTCTTTAAAATATGAGTCAACTTGTGCCATTTTCATTCTGTCTTTTCTCCTCCATCTCTACTTCTTGTTATTTTGGTCTATTTATACTAAACTCACTGACCCCTAAGGGTCATGCCATAAAAGGTGACTTTCTAAGGGTTTGCTGAAATTGGATGATGTATTGAGCCGAAAGGAGCATATATTGCAGCCTAGCTATAAACTGCGATACAGTGTGCCAACTGCTCTTTTAATTGTTAATACAGAAGAAGAAAAAGATCAGTTCATCCCCATATGTATCCCAACTATTGTATAATGTGTTTTTCACATTTAATAGTCAGAGCATATTTTGGCAATCTTTCTTCAGTGGCCAGTTCTACTGCTGTGAAACTGAGCCTCTAAGTCCCTAACAGATGTTACTTTAACCTGTTCTGTCCTAAGAAGTTGTACCTTTAACACCTGTTATGATCTGATGGAGTCAGTTTATCATTAGGTCTGTATCATTTATGCCGTGTTTACACTCTGATTTGTATTGTATAGATATCCTTCTCTAATCTAATGGGATTTCTTCGGTCTCCCAGACTTCACAAAATAATGGTGTAGCAGGTCCGTAGGTGTTTGTGTGTTGGAAAGCGTTTAGGGGGTGTATGATTAATGCTTGACCTGTATGTATACGAAAGTTCCCAAGTCGACCTTCTAGCAACTAAGTGGGTTCCCTGCTTGAGAGTGCTTAACTAAGACAGTTCACGTAGTCACACAGTACACCAACACTGATCACAGTCAACAACAACACGTTAGAAGACATCTCTATCATTGTGCATCAGTCTATTGACAAACACAGTATGACGATAAGTATGAATTGGTAATTACAGAACTACTGTCTGTCTAATGCTCCCCAATACCCATTGGTATACTTCCAAAGTGGTATCACCTCAGAGGGCAACACCTAGACTTTAACATGAGTCAAGTCAAGCCTCCGAGTAGCTTTAGCAGCTCTAGTTTTGCTGGTTGAGCTTTCTAGACATAGTTTTGAATTCATGTTTTAAAATAGCTCAACTATAGTCACTACAGAAATAACCATTATCCTTAGACCAACTATTGTGCATACATTGCTCACATTGTTTGTGAACTTTTTAGATACTACTACTTCTTTTGTGTGTTAAAAGGGCAGTTGGTGTGTTGTGGTTTACAGCTAGGCTGTGATATCTACGTTTTTCACCCATCATGTCTGATTTCAGCAAATCTGTAGCTAGTCTCCTTGTACAACTGGGGGGGGGGGGGGAGTAGTAGATCTATTCTTTTCTTCCCCAAAATGGGGCCACAGAACCCACACAAGGATTTGAATTAATAAGTGTATCTTCTTCTAGTTTCAGAAACCTGCCAAAATGAGTGCTGAAATAGAACATTTGGCCTCTCCAACAATGGAGGCAGCATCAGCTGATGATGACAGAACCGCTGATGGTTTGAATGGTGCACTTGAAGACGATCAGTCTGTTGATATTTGTCGCTTATGTGAGTCCACCATAAAATCTCCTAAGATTTTGTCATGCCTACACGAGTTCTGCGAGGAGTGCCTGAAGAAAAAGCTGGAAAGTGAAAAGGAGGAAAATGGGTTGCCAACCAGCCCTTTAGCCAAAGAATGGATGATGGATGTCATCCGGTGTCCTATCTGTGAGCAGAAAACAAGGCTTCCTGATAAAGGTGTGAGTGGTTTGCTGTCGGACACAGTACTAGAAGACTTAATAGAATCTAACCATGGAGGTGAAAAGCAGGTAAGATGTTTTTTCACTTGTTATGGCTGTTTGTTATTTATGCTCACAGTTAATAGGGTTTGCCTTAGTGGTTATGGGGAACTGCTGACAGGGACTCTTTTCCACTGTGGCTACTTATACACCTTTAGGGGTCACTGTAGTTGTGCAATTTACTCTTACTCTAAAGCAGGGGTGGGAAAACTGGTCCACCAAGCAGTTTTGATGGCCCATGAGGCTGGTGTAAAATGACTATATAATCTGGCCCTTGAGCTCACAAAATAGTGCTACACAAAAGACAATACATTTTTTGCAAAAAAATGGAAACAAACTAATCCCCCCCCCCCCCCCCCCCCCCCCCCCCCCCCCCCCCCCCCCCCCCCCCCCCCCCCCCCCCCCCCCCCCCCCCCCCCCCCCCCCCCCCCCCCCCCCACCCCCCCCCCCCCCCCCCCCCCCCCCCCCCCCCCCCCCCCCCCCCCCCCCCCCCCCCCCCCCCCCCCCCCCCCCCCCCCCCCCCCCCCCCCCCCCCCCCCCAAGTCACATCTTAAAACAATGACACCCAAAAACTGATGTTGCCAAATGTTTGATCCTGTTAGTGAATCATGTGTTGTAGACTAATTCGGATATTAATTTCAAAACAAGAAGTTATTTAACAGACAGATATTTGGAAAAAACACTGCACAATGAAGATAGAATTTTTCAGGTTGTTTAAACACAATCCTCTCAATAAATCTGAAAGTAAGCTATTTATAATTTATTTAAATTATCTGTCTCTTACCCTGTTTCTTACTCTCTCATTGCACACTATTTATTCAATGCTGACACACACCACCACCCCCCCCCCCCCCCCCCCCCCCCCCCCCCTTAATCCGGTAATATGATTTTTGCAGATAACTAGATTGGACAGACATGTTTAAGAATATATAGAACCGCTTCAGTTAGGGAAATAAAAGCGTAGGAAGGGATTGTAATCTAAGATTATCCTCCTAAAATATTGTGTTGTGGCGAAATCTGGGTGCTGTGTTAATATTAAAAGATATGGGTTTGACTTTGTGTTCTTTTCTTTGATTCTTGATTATGGGTATTTGGGAAATCCCTGGTGGTCTTTGCTGGATTTATAGAATTTGTGTTTTGTGGAATGACACCCCCGCACCCCTCCCCCCCACCCCCCAAAAAAAATCAACAACATAGAGACTGATCTCCGTATAGGACATGATTTACTATTGAAAATACTGGAAGGCAAAGTCCAGTGGAAAAGAATAAATAGGATGCTCGTGAAACAACACATTAGGTTCAGGTTTGTTTGGGATGCACTGGTGTTGAACCACACTTGGCCGTGCCCGAGAACCAGGTCTGACATACTGGTCAGAATCTGTTGACAGCTCTTTGTGGTCATCCTAAAAATAATTTTCCAACCAGGGGCCTGACCAACATAGATGCAATCAGCCCTTTCTTCGAAGACTGTGCATCTTCAGAAGAGACAAAGAACCAATAAATAGTCTGTCCGCAACAAAGTGTGATCTGTAAAATGAATGCGTGCACATTTAAATCCCGGAACAAGGCCAGGGTCCAAAAGTGGACAAACCAGATCTTTCTGCTGGATTTACAGCTGGTGAACATGAAGAAGATGATTTGTGCGAAGTGAAATGTGATATCAAGAATGGTGTGAAAAGATTATGCACCTTTAACGTCATTCTGAAGACCAGCTAACATGATGATGGCGGGATGGTCTCTATGACTTAGTGGTTACGTTGTTTGCCTTATGTTCTGAAGGTTATTGGTTCAGTTTGAGACTCAGTGCTTCGGTTCATAGACACGTTGTTTTGGTAATCTAGCTGTTGCTAGAGCTTTAGTTCATGCTTTTTGCAGTGATAATTTCTTTTTCTTTTTTGGTCTGCCTTCATTTCTGTGTCCCTGTGGGTTTCATTTTGGTAATTCCATCTTGGCAGTGAACACACAGTAATCATCGGATAGAGTCTGTAGATATTTGGTGAATTACAGATGGGATGAAGGTATGTGGGGGGGGGGGGGGGTGTGGGGAAGCCGGCTTCTACAATACAAAAAAATATGTGCGGACAGGACATGAATTATACAGGGGTTGAGATAGATTTATGACAGAAAGGATGTCATGGATCTGTCAGTTGTAATATTAACCTCAGCCTGTTTGCTCTGTTTTCAACCTGTTTGAATGCTTCCTCATTCTTGTTTCTGATTAATGTTAGTGTTTAAAACATTCGTTTTGCTCATTATAACATTCTATAATAGTATTGGTGTAGAATGTGCACCAGGGCACATTTTTCAAATAAAAAAGACCATTGCTTCCATTTTGACCTACCCTTAACCCTACCAAACCTGAGGCCCCGAACCTAACTGTCCCTATAACCTGAGCTCCTGGGCACTAACACGCAAAAACCAACATGATGTACAAAAAAATTAGTTACATGCAAACAAGTGGTTAGAATAAGATAAAACTTGGAGACATTGTAGAAAATAGGTTTACCTTTCATCTAGCGCCAATCTTCCACCTTTGTGTGCTAATCCACCTAGTAGGATCAGTCTTGTTTCATAAAGTAAGCACCAGATGTTGCTGTTTGAGGGATACGCCCCCTTCTCTTACTATCGATCTAGTTTTAAATCTATAATTTTCATAATTCTCCTCCTCACTCTAGCTCTCACTGACTGTCACTCAACTGGGAACGTATTCTTCATGAACATATTCACAGTCTGAAGTATCGATCACCTGTTGGTGAAAAGCCTAAACCTACACCATTTTCTTGTCAAAGCCGCTCGTTTCATTAAAAATTTTCCGAATTTTTTTCACATAAAACCACACAAAGAAAAAGAAATCGCAACACAGGTGGGAAGTCATTCGCAATGACTAACAACAAAGTCTGATGGCGATTGGCTGGTTATTTTTTTTAGTCTGTGACGCATATTTTCCCGCATATTTGTCTTGGGAAAGTAAAGTTGGCCTGTGCGATATTGACATAACTGACCGAGAGAAGGGGAGCTATAGAAATAGCATAATATGCCCAATATAGCATACTGGCATCCGTTATTTTGCCTTCTATATTAATGAATTGAATAGTAGTACCTCAGTGTGATGATCTGGATGTTTTCTTTGTATGCAGATTGGCTGTACAAGCTGCAAAGCAGGAGACAATGCTGTGGCCAAGTGTAGAACATGTGAGAACCTGCTGTGTCCTAATTGCGTTACAGCCCATCAGTTCATGAGATGTTTTGAAGACCACAAGGTGTGTATCGGCTGATTCAAATGATATAGTTAAATGCTTTATTATTAACTTGAGGGCCTTTGGGGTAAAAATTGTTCAACTGAGAGTTTAAAAAACAAGAAGAAAAAAAGAATATCAAGATATGTCGCTTAAATCCGGTAGCTGAGTTATGTGTAACAAAAAAAGTACAAATCCCTGTTCCATGCCCTTAAGCAAATTGGGTATATAGTACTGTACTTTTATTGTATAGAAATTTTGCACTCAGTTTAGGTGATTGGTCAAACACTGCAGGCATTTGCTTCCCAGGACTTTACCTGGTACCCATTGTAGGCTGGGCTGATCTGTGAGCTGAAATCATTTAAAAAACAAATCTGACTAGATTTTACTTTGAACTTAAGCATGCGTCTAAACGCTGCATCATAGGATTTGCCAGAATATGCTTTTTTAGGGGTCTCCATTGTGCTCTAAGCCTTTTGCCTCTTGTGAAAGATCTCGGTTTCATTTTAGGCTGTGAATTTAGTTGAGTATAGTTTTTTTTAATGGGGAGGGGTGATCGCCTGTATTCATCACAGGAGCTATGTTCATGCACTGCTTGAGCAGACTCGCAGAGAAATATGGAGCCACATAGGTAAAACCCACCACTTTATATAGTGCTTTGCCTAAAAGAGTTTGGGGGACTGAGTTTAATGGGTAGTGCGTAGTATTTGTCAAATACAAAAATAGCAGATTGTTAAAATGCATCTTCTTCACTTGCTTCTTCACCATTTTGGGTGTAGAGGCAAATACTTTTTACATTTTTCTTAGCATTCACTGGCTGTAAATGTCAGTGTAAAATTCTGGTTTTTCATCCACTAGCGGACTTTGATCTTGTTCAATAGCTTGAGTTTTGCATGCATGTCTGTTTTACTTACAGATTTAGCTTATTTGTATACGTAATGTTGGTTCCTGGCCTCTCAGCAGATGTTCTCCCACTTCAATGAAAACACTACTAATTAGTTGCCTTTTATGACATGCTTCTTAGAGGGGCATGGGTGTGCTCCCTGCCCCCCCCCTCACTTCCTATCCCACTCCCCAGAAAAAATGGAGCTCATGGAACCCACACAGGGATAGGGATATACAGGGTTCTGGTTCTTCATGCTCTTCTGACCACTTTGACCATAGACAATACTGTTGCAGTTTCTCTGGTTCTTTGCACCTTGTTCTTGGTTTACTTCAGGTTTTATGTCTCTCTCTGTCCCAACCTTGGGTTATACTTTCATTGAGGAACAGCTATTTGGCAGTGAGAGAGAGACTGAGCCATGTGGGATAAAACCTGGTGCAGTAAAAAATTTTCCTTTGAACACATTTTTTGTATCTAGTTCCTCTCTGTTGGTCTGTCTGTCTGTCTTGGTCATTGCCTTGATTTGTTGTTTTTGTTTTCATTGCTCTGTTCATGGGCAGACTCTACTGCCACCATACCATGTAGTCACAATTGTTGCTGCTCTTCAGCTATCGTAATTACAGCTTTATTTTCCTTCATTGCCATATACAGGTTGTAACATTTGAAGAGATGATCAACACGGGTGAGGGCACTGAGCATCTGCTCAGTAGGCCAGTGTTTTGTACAATCCACATTGTTGAAAGTATCAAGTTCTTCTGCACTTCCTGTCTTGTAAGTATACACAAGTATAACAGTCTGACAACATCAGTCACCTCTACAGGTTTCTGAGTTCTAAGAGCCCGACAAACTTAGTAAAATATGTTTGGCTAAATAATGTGCCTAAATCTCCAGGAAATCCTCAAGATCATTAAAATAGTATAAAGACTGTTTTTAGTGTATGTATTTGCCACTCTTAGGATGGTTGAAAGGGGTGATGGTGGTGTTAATGAGCTTGAGGATTTAAGGCCACATGGCTAGTTCAGTCACCACGAATTGTGAAGGTTAGGATTTATATTTTTGGGCTGCTTAAATTTTCTCCACATATTACAAAAGAAGATAGAACCCTGGTTTCCTGCATGAGAGTCCAACGCCCTAACCACTTGGCCAGCTCTGTAATGTAGCTTTCATTTTTGAAGAGTGGCTGACTGAACTGATAAAAACCTAGGGCTCTCATGCGGAAGACTGAGAGCTGAATCTTTTGAAAGATTATGTTGTTTTCCTGACGGCAGGAAAACAGTCCTAACGTGTACACTTTGTGGTGACTGCACTTGCCATGCAGCCATAAATCGTCAGGCTCAAATACCTCCTTGCCTTGTCTGCAAAAGTGGAATATACAGACAGTTTATGGCAACTGTCAAGTGTTTTGTGTTGTGATTTTCCTTGTCTCTCCCTTTTGTTTTTTTAAATACATCAGTAAATGCCATTTGTTAGATTGCAGTTTATCATTTTTTTTCTGCTGGTTGCAACAGTACATAGTATTAGAAATATTTTAGTAGGCACACCATTTTCTGTACTGCTGTAATAGACAATTCATGATGATTACTGGCCTTTTAATTTTAGTAACTTTTTGGTGAGTACTGGCACCCTTTAGTTATGGGGTTCACTGCAGGTGGTATCCACGTATTTCACTGATCTTCTTTTCATTCTCCAAGACAGTGGTTTTCAAATGAGAGGTTTCTGTGAAGATTGTGGTGCCACATTTGTCCTCCTCTGATCCATACAGCTTGGTTTCCAGCAGAGTACTAACTGGCCAGACCTTGCATCTCTTTGCTACTTAATAGAGGGCATGTCTAGGCATTTCACAGTTGAAAGACTAACAATTATGTCAGCACTGGAGCTTGAAAGATTCAAATAGACAATTTAAAAACATGAAGCTTTTCTGGATATGTTACCCATTTAATCAAATGTGCCCTGTTTCCACAATAAAACTTGGGTACAGTATATCTGTATATGAATGTAGTTTCATAATTTTCACACACCTGGCATCCGCTTTGCATTGATTTTGGGTGGTAGGAGCGTGGTCCATTAAGGAAGCAATAGATAACTACTGAACATTAGATTGCCTAGTCAAACTACACACAGCCAGCTAATTGCTGGGTTGACACTTCCTTGAAATTGATATGCAGCTAACTTAACTCTGTATTTATATTGTGTTTGTTGTTAAACAAACTTAACATCTTGATTCATAAAGTACAGTTACTTTGTTTGATTAACGGTAGTTGGAAGGGGCCGAATGACATGCCCCCATGCCCAGTTTTTGACCCTTTGCAAAATTTATTCGTCTCTACAATGGAGGTTGACTGTTGTAATGCATCCCCTGCTAACTGTTGAAAGTTTATGCGGTGAGGCCCCAGGCTCTTCCATGGCGCGACTCATAACATTGTCTAGAAGCCACGAGAAAGCTCTTTATTTCAACCACCCACTGCAGGAATCGAATCCTGGTAAACATCAAGAATGGCGGTGTGAAACCATTTCACTAACCTCTGAGCCACAGAACCGCATACAGTTCATCTGTTTACCTCGCATGCTGTGACTGCCTTTACTTGCACATTTATGCCAACTATATTTTTGTTTTCCATAGGTGCCTGCATGTGGAGAGTGCATCCAGAAGTCACACAACACTCCAGATCACATTGTGAAGCAGCTTGCGGAAGTTGTCGGAGCCAAGAAGGAAACCCTGGCAGACTTTACCAAAGAGTGTGGCAAAAAATTGGTGGAGTGCCAGAAAATGAATGCTAACCTGAACGCAGCGTTTGAGGAACTGGAAATGCAAAAAGATAACACTAAAGGACTCATTCTAGAAACTTTTCAAAGCTACAAGGCTCTCCTGGAGGATATCAGGGTAAATAAATTATGTTGTTGGAGTTTCTGTCAACTTTAATTTGACTAAGGATATCAGAGTAAATTAGACTGTTGGGCTTTCGTCACTTAAATTTGACTACTTATGTCAAAGGATAATATTAGACTGCTAGTGTTTGGTTTCAACTACATTTTAGTTTTCATAAGGATTGAGGGTAAATTAGACTGTTAGTGTTTGTATCAACTTTTTAGTTAGGATGTCAGTGTAAATTATATTTTTTGTTAACATTTTAGTGAGGATATCAGGGTAAAAGACTGTCATGTGTGGGAAGGCTAGCCCGGGCAATAAATGCCTGGAGAAGTTGGATGTCGGTAAAAGGACACAGATACCACAGCCATGTCACAAATAGTCCCAGAATGGGCAAATAAGACTGTCAGATATTGTTAAGATTTTCAGAGTAAGTTATCTTCACAATGTCAGAAACTTCAAATTTTACTGAAGAAATTTTGGAAATTGACACTGCTAGTATCCTGCACCAGAAACTTTAATTTTTAGTGAGGATAATAGGATAAATAAGAGGGCACAACACCTTTGGAAATTAGAGTAATCTCAGTTTATGATGACTCAACTCTTTCCCTTTTTTTTCATTTTACCTGCCTGTTTTTGTTGTGAAAGATTGTGTAGATTCCTGTACCATTTTCTCTCTACACGCAGGATAAATTTATAGCAGAGGCTGAGCAGCTGCATGAGAAAAGAGAGCTATGTCTGATGGAACGTATGCACAAGCTGTCAACTTATGAAAACCAGCTGTCTCAGGCCAAGAGCTTTGTGGAACGTATATGCCAGCATGGACATGCAGGTCAGATAGGCCAGCTGCTGCAGCCCATGCTGACCCAACTTAACACGCTGTGCATGGGCTTCATTATGCCAGATATCCCGATTAACACAGAGTTCAAAACTGATGCTGCTGCATTTATGAATGCTGTCAGAAGTGCTTTCGGTTACTTCTCCAGGGAGAAGAATAGCTCAATGGTATGCATTTTCTATTAGTTTTAATCTGTTAAAACATTGCCTTTTTGTTATACCAGGCTACTGAAGGCAGAGAATTTTAACACTGCAGCCTACCATTTTTAGGCGAATAAGGGTAAATTTGGGCATTAGCTCAGCTGCCTCATATGGTAAAACACTTTTCTTTCTTTCTTTTTTTCTTCTCCCTACCTCGTTCTGTATGCCTTTCAATGTCAGGTTTTAAAAAGGAATCTGATGTGTGCCTTCGTGTGTGCTACTCAGATGCTGGTATTCATAATTTTGGATTGAATTCTACTTGCTGCTAATTTCTTTTTATCTCAGCACTGAAACATATACCACCTCTTCCTTTTCCTGTCCTGAGTGCTCCTCCTGCGTAACTTTCACCTGTTCATATTGCAGCTCAGCAGCAAGTTTTTTAGTATTAAGTTCCTGTCTGTGGTGTTCTACCACATCCTCATTGACCTCCAAGCCCAAACTCTTGCCAGGGGCCACAGTCTTTTTTACTAGAGTTACAACTGTCTCCTCGAAGTCTCTGCCAGGCACACAACCTGGCGAAAGTCTCCTCCCAGCAGACAGAGTCATGGGTTTAGAGACGTACCCTGACTTTTCAGTAGGATTTATGCTGTGGAGGATATGAAAGTGATCCTTCCAAAAATCTCACAGGGTCAAATCTGTTATGTGGTCACCTGGAAACAATTCTTGAAGTTGGAAATTACTTGCTGATGCATGGGCTGAATGAGAGGAGTGGTGTTAGGTGACAGAAACCTACATTTATAAAGTTATATTCAACATCAAGGTTGTTTTCCATACTTGGAGGGATGGGGAGAAGGACTCGCTGTCCATAACCAGCAGACACTTGAGAAGGAAATTATTTGTCTCGAGGTATTTCTTGACAGCTGGCGCAAAAACAGTTGGCGACTCGAAAAAATGTAATCCTGTTGTTCATGCCTTGCTGTTCGCTCTCTCCAATACCAGTTTACCATTTATTATTTTCTTGCATTTTAAATCGCGCACATTTTTCATCTTGGTAAGCTATAAGTTTAATATTTAATTAGCGCTTAATAAAAGTGTATGCATGTCCTTGATTAGTTTGTGGTCATGTAGTGACTTTACCTCATTGGTAATGTAGGTCTTCTTCACCTGTTCATCACCTGGTTGCCGGGCAGAAGGTTTTAACCAGCTGCGCTAGTGAGCCAGGCTGCTAGCTTTAAATTTGTCAACACTAGAATCACTTTGTTCCTCTGTAATCCAAATATCTCTGTCTCTGCAGTCTGCTGGTAGAAGTTATGTGGAAAACATAAATATTAAAAAGTTGAAGAAAGTTTGTTTTGGGTATTTCTCTGTGCAGTCTGGCGGTAAAGATGAAGGTGAGAGGATCGATTTGATTACGCTGGGTTTTATCCCATATGGCTCAGTCTCTCTATGCAGAACAGCTAGCTGCCTGCCGAGAGCGTCGCACAGAGCATGACCTATATAGATCTGGTGATGATCCCCAGGGATCTCCATAAAAATGTCACTTGTAGACTTTTGCGGCGCCGCCGTGAAATAGACCCACGACCTTTAGAGCGTTAGGCAAACAGCTTTACCAAGGGGACCCCCTGCAGTCTGGTAAATTTGAATTTAAAATGTTGATCTGATTTTGTCATTTATATAGTATACCTCAGTGTACCACAGTTTGATTTCTGTGGTGGTAGGGTTAGAAAAAAGACAGACCTGAGGACTTTTAGACAGTTGTATGATAGTAGCACCATGGGAAAGATTGAGGCCTAACTAAGATTCCTAAAGGCTACAGTGGATGTACATGTCCCAGAGGAAATATTCGGGCCTCACCGCTTAAGATTCCTAAAGGCTGCAGTGGATGCACATATCCACTGTAGCCAGCCTCCTTTGTGGAGACTAGACAAGTTATTTCTGTGAATGTAATGTCGCAGTATTGGTTTTCTTGTCTCCAGCAGAGTGGTTCCTCCGTGTGCTCACCGTTTGAAGCAGAACGCTTCAGCCTTCCCAACATGCTAGCCCTGGGCGGCGGAAATATGATGCATCACCACATGAGCCACGACCTGATGAACATCAACAGTCTGCCTGGCTTACCCATGAACATCGGCATGAGCCAGAGAATGGACAGCTTGCCCATGTCCAGCGTGATCTCCAGCTTCAACTCCATGAACATGTCTCATCATCCCGACCACACCGTGTCCGGCAACAACAGCCCACTATCTGACAGTGGCATTTCCGTCGATAATGTTAGCCACAGCAGTGGAAGTAATACTGCTGCCATGATGAATGTTGCTGCCATGGCCAAGTTACACCAGAGCCAGAGTGAGTGGTCATTGTATTCATTGTATTTTGATTGACATACATGCATGAGCTTCACAAACACTCCCTCCCTCTCTCTCCCACACACTCTCTCTCTCTATCTTTCTCTCTCTCTCTCTCTCGCACACACACACACATGCAAATCACTGTCTCACCTGGTATCCTTTGACTAATTTACACCAAAGCCAGAGGGAGTGGTCAGTCTACTATTGTCTCACAATCACCCAATTGCTCTGTTCTTTTCCACATTCTCACTTCTCTCTCTCTCTATCTATCTCTCTCTCTCTCTCTATCTCTCTCTCTCTCTCTCTCCCCTCCCCCTTCCCCTTCCTTTTTCTTCCTCTTCTTTACCCCTCCCCCATTCCTCTTTGATTGTCATATCAGATCCAAAATGAGGAGTCCTTGTACTGTCTTTGGCTGCATACACTTGTTGCCCCCCCTCCCCCATTTATTTGTATCCGCACATATAACATAGGGTGTTTTCAATCTGAGAAAAATGCCAATACAATGGATGGATATGTAAAAGAGATGCTTTTTTTTTTTTTTTTAAGAAGCTAGCTGCAAAATCATTAATTAAATTCCTTTGGAGTTGGTCAAGTTAAAAAAAAAAAAATTTTCAAATGATGCAAATTTAGTGAAAATGCTGTGACAATAGCGGTCCTGAAATCCCATGCGCTAATTATGAGACTTTTAAAAACAGGAAGGTCTTGCGAGTCCGACTCACTATCACCCTGTTCTGTGATGAATTTGTTTCTCTGTAGCACAGTATAATACTATAATCTGCAAAGACAGAATGGTTCTTACTGGGAAAAATACTCAAAGCAAAAATGAGGCTTAACCTATCACTTGGGATTAGTTTCTAGTGAATTCTCAGCAATAGCATGTTGCAGGTAATCTCCCTAATGCCTTGATGGCTGTAAACTCTGACTGAAAATTATAATTGTTTGACCACTTTTTGTGTGCAACTTCATATTACATATCTAGCTTACTTGTATGCAGACTGTTGGTTCCTAGCCTCTCATAGAAATGCATTCTGACTTCACTTGCAGAATGGCTGTCTCTTCCTCTCCCCCCCCCCCCCCCCTTTTCCCAATCCTAAATGGGCCCTAGAACAAACAGGTTTAATATGTTTTTTAAAATAATTCTTTGGTTGAGTTTGATTCAAAGATAAGGCAAAACCTTGGGAGATTTTTGTCTGTGCTGTGTATACATTCTTTATTGTAAGTGTTGTATGTTGCCTGCAGTTGTTTGTTTTCTGACATAAATACCAGATAATGCTTTTAATCACATGCCCTTAGACAATTCTGTCTGGCTCCACCTGTGGGTCCCTGGGCCCCATTAGTAAGGGGAAAAAAGAATAGCCTCACTGCCCTTTAAAAAACTTGTTATGAAAGTGCAAATATCTCAGCGTAGCTGTGATCACACCACTACATTCTTTGAGGAAACTTCATAAATACAGTCACCATTTTGTTTCTGTGTTGTGAATGCACATGCAACACCTATCGTCGCCTAACAAATGGAGATATAAAGTTCCTTGTTTCTGTCACCAAATGACACCTTTAGAAACCACCAACTATATTTTCCTGCCATCCCATAACCATTTGTGACTTACTTTTTGACTTCCCCATGTACAGTTGGTTATAAACAAGAAAACAAATATTTATTCCCCTGTTGTATCATTGAATTACTTGACTGCTGTTTGTTGTTACAGGTCCACTCTTTGCCCCAGGCATGAGCATGGGTGGACCAGGGGCAGCTTTGATGGCAGCTAATGGTGCTATTACCTCCGGTGCTGGCGATAATGCCTTAGCTAGCATTCTCGGCTCCAACAATGCTGGATCTAATGCAAATGCAAACACTGTGCAGAATGCCAATATTGAGGGACTTGCTTCATTGCTGAACCAACCTCCACCTTCAGCCCTCAACACTTTCACCAACGTTGGAACATTTGACCAGTTTAGTCCGAGTAAGTAATGTTCTTGAGAAAACCTGATGATAATTTGAATATCCTTGCACTGGAACTGGGGAGTTGCCGTGAGCTAGCACATTGGAAGGTCGTGGGTTCGCGTCCTGACGGTTCTGGACTTTTTTCTTCAAAAATGACCTTGACTTCCAGGCCTACCCAGCCTTGAGTGGGTACTAGGTCCGGTCATGAGAAGTGAAGGCATCCGGTGTGGTGCTGACCACATCACCCACCAAGTGCAGATTGGTCTATAAAACTCTAGGTCTAGCCTTATATTACCAATATGCCTAAAGGCCTGGAAAAGGGTCCTTTACTTTTTTTACTTTTTGCACTGAAACTGACGGGGCCAAAAAAATAAAGTACATAGAGGGAACAACTAGAGTCATCTGAAGAAGATGGAGACGACAGTCTCACATACAAAAGAAACTAATACGGTGAGTCGGTTGAGGACCTATGCTCCATTGAGGTTAAGGAGAAAAGGAAGTTTGTTAATATTTATTGAACAGCTGTTGTGTAGTGGAAGGTCCACACGGGTAGAATTTGCATGTGACCTCTAATAGCTTAGTGGCTGTCTGCTTGTATGTATATGTATGTATGTACATACATATGTGTGTGTGTATGTATGTTTGTGTGTAAGTGAGGGTTGAGTGAGTGGTCATGTGTTTGTGTGTGCGCGCATTTATTTACCCTCCATTTTTTTTTTAACATTATATTTATATTATGCATATTGTTATACGAACATAACATTCTTTATTGATAAAATGTGTGGAAGATGAGTGTTTGGAAGGGCTGCATTCTAAATTTGTAACCCTTTAAAAATTGTTTGTTCATTTATTCATTCTTCTGGCCCCAGAGGTCTAGTGTTCAGAACCACATTGTAGCAATCTGTAACAGTGCTGGACAGTGAACAGTCAAATTGAATCTTTGGAGATGTGAATGTACAGAAAAGGTCAAATTTTATTGGGGGGGGGGGGTGGATATAATATAAAGGTTCTGGAAAGACTGGGAAGAGAGAGAGAGTTACTGAATACGAAAAATAAGGAGCCAGTTGAAATATTTCAGCCACATTAAAAAACTTAACACTCTTTTAAAAACCATACTGAAGGGAAAAGTCAGAGGCAGAAGAGCAAGAGGTAAACAATGATACAAGTTGGAGGCCAGCATCAATCTTTGCCATGCAACTGGTTTCTGCCTGCTTGTCCTCATTTAATACTCATTTCCGACAGGCGGCTCATCTCCTTGTGACTCCCTTGTCTCTGGAACACAGTGCATTCTTTGTTTTCACTGCACATACTGCTTCCTCCCTTAACCACTGCAGACTGACCTGGCCAATCTGTTAGATCTTTCATTTCCTTTCACTCCCTCTAGCATATCCTGGTGTGTACAGCCAAGATAGTTTCTTAACGTAGGTCTTCTGGGTGCTGTCAGCCCATTCCAGTCTGTTTGCCAGCTGGTGTTTTCCAAAACATGCTCATTAAATTGTAAAGTCCTGCTGAAATCCATGGTTCTCTCCAGTGACGTACACTCTGGGGTCAACTCACTCTGTTGAAATATGTTCTAGAGATTTCTCTGGGGAACAAAGGAGTTGGCGGATGAAGACAGCTGGTCACATCTCATGTTGCTGTAGTTTGGTGTTACAAGATGCTCATTTTGCTGGTGACTGCTGGTTTTGTTTGTTTTTATCTTGGATTTTATCATGTCTGTCATTAAGGAAATGTATTAGCTGAGTGAAGTGATCATTATTTGAATGAAATGATTCTTATTTCAATGACTGGGATTTTTGCTTTTTAGCTTCTGTTCCATCTGAGCTCGGGTCACCTGGCAGCCAGTATGGGGGAGAACCATACCCTGCCTTGAGACGCACCAACAAGATGAACGCTATGCAGATCAGGTACATCTCTTCTCTTTTTAAAGCTGATTCATTAGATTTGTTTTTTCAGAAATAAATGCACATACATTAAGTAAGTGTTTCTTGTGGCATCATTTGGCCACTTGGATGCATGGAAGTGGCCCTTTTAAAAATAATTTAGCAAATACAGGATTGATTTTGTGGTTGATAGGCTTTAGTTCAGTTTTGTTGATGGGATTTAGTTTAGATTTGTTGATGGGAGGATTTGACATGTTATGAGAAGGATTGGACTTGAGAACTTGGTTCCAACTGGCAAGATTGAGGGAAGAAGAGCAGGGTCTCTATGGTCATCCTCATCTTCTTCACTGATCTCGACCAAGTCAGGCACAGAAGTTGGGCTGTTTTAAAACTCCCCACCCTGCTCATACACTTGCTGGTCTGACAGGCATGTATCACCATACTGGACCCTAATTTGCTGATGAATTTCTATAGGTTTCACAACTTTACTGATAAAAAATTGGATAACAGAATGCTGCTTCTCTTTAGTACTTGTCAAAAGTGAGACGGTCATCTTTAAAGTGTCATTGTGATGTTGCTATGTTCGTCTGTACATGATATGTGCATAACTCATCAGTAAAAAAAACCCACAAAATGTCCATGACATGGAGGTGACAGCCATTAAATCTAGCTACTCGTGACAGAGTTCGCAAGTCCTTGAAAATTGCTTTATATACACTTTGGGAAATCTGGCGCCTAGTTGACTAAACTGCCAAAACAGCTTTATCAAGGATCCTAGGGGACTGAACTGCCTACACAATTTCATCTTATCCTCGAATTCCGGCCCCTCGCTTTCCTCAGGATATGTATTTTTTTCGCTCACATGTGTCCCACCAGTCTGTTGGCTAGACATCGACCTGGCTGCTTTGAGATACGAAGATAAGTAATATTGTATATTTATGTAGGTGCGGATGAAGGCTCCATAGCCGTAACGTTCACGTTTTGTTTGTGTTTGATATAATGTGAAGCTCGCCGATATACTTTTCATGGGGTTTATATCTTTCCTTAACTCAACAGTAATATTGACAGTTTACAAAACTATGGCATGGTAATTTTAATTTATATCACACTTGTAAGTTTTTTTTAATTATTTAAAGCCTCATACATTATTATATACATTTTTCGCTCTGTGAAGAATATGCCAAGAGTATGAGAGTGAAGCCATTAAAAAAAACCAGGGCAAACTACTACTATTTGTAAAATTGTCTGGTAAAACCTCAAAGTGCCAACAGATATTGGTGTTGGTTTGCGACCTGTAAACTAACTGTTTTTAACACATTTTTTGTGGGATATGACATTCCTCAGCAGGTTTCCAGGTACCATTGGTGACACAGAGATTGGTCATTGGGGACCTCAGCAGAAACAGATCAACGAAGTTCCCTTAAGGTTCTCTTTCTACTGCTTGCTATAACTGTAGCTCATTGTTGTACACATTTTTCCTGCTTGGGATGGGGCTTGTTTCTTTGCTGAACTTTCAGTGTGGAATGGTTGTTTTTTTTATTGTTGCACTAACTTACCCTGCTAGCTTGCTGGCTCTTTATGTGCTTGCTTAAGGGGTCCTGCACTTCAGACTTCGTTCATTCAGTGTTAAGCAACTCACTGTGAGTTTATTGGTTATTCCTTACACAATCAGCTTTTATTTACTTCTTGTTTTGTATTCACTTTTTACACTAACCGCTTCAAGCCGAAAAGCCATTTGTCACATAATCTGCTTTAATTTATTTCATGTTTGATTTTTTGTTTATACATTTACCCCACTCAAGTCGAAGGGTCCTTTCTTATATAATCTGCTTTTGTTTTCTTTTTGTATTGCATTCACCTTATAAGGAAACAGCAATCATCTCATTAATTTTTGCAAAAGCCTATACACACGTAGTAAATGCTGCATAAGATCGAAGGCAGGGTTGTCAAGAACTTTTATAGCGAACTCTGGTGTGCGTCAGGGCTGTGTACTATCGCCGCTTCTTTTTATAACATACATGGATACCATGTGTAGCTAAACAAACTTTAATCATGAAGAAGATATTACAGAATTACTTTTCGCCGACGACCAGGTACTCATAGCAGAAAATACGAAATGCCTACAGAACCACCTAAATCAAATTAGTAACAAAGGGGAGGAATATAATATGAAAATAAACACTACTAAGACAGAGACAATGATGATAGGAAGACATAAAGACAGTTTAGAAATTAAATTAAAAAACAACACACTGAGACAAACAGGAATTTAAGTATTTGGGAGCAATTTTTACATCAGACGAAAAACTGGACAGAGAAATTAGCTCCAGATGTGCCAAAGCTAATCAAGTAATGGGTCAACTATCTCCCCTGTTGACACACAAGCAGATACCTCAGAGTACTAAAGTGAATCTTATCAGAACTATTTTTGGCCAACACTATGCTATCAGTGCCAAACTTGGACACTTACATCCTCCAATGAACGTAAAATTGTTACAACAGAGATGAAATGCATTAGAAGAGCTGCAGGAGTTTCAAGGAAAGACAGAATACAAAATCATGAAATCAGACGAATGCTAGGAATAAAGCCAGTTTTACAGGTCATCAAAGAACAACAAATGAAGTGGTTTGGACACCTAACAAGAATGCGCTGGTATTATCCGCCACAGCAAGCCACACTAAAACGTTACAGCGCGTATAGAGCGAGTGGAAGACCTCGAAAAATATGGAGTGATGGCATTAAGAACAGCCTTATCAGTCTCAACAGTGCTTTTGACAGAGCTCATCAACGAACATTACATCTCCCCCCGACACTTCGATGAGGTACAAGGTGGAAGAGAAGAAGAAGAAGATCACCATATACATTAATTCCACTCAAGGCCCTTTCTGACATAATCTGCATTTATTTCTTGTGTTGTATTCATTTTTTACATTAACCACTTCAAGCCAAAAGGCCCTTTCTTATATAATCTTCTTTTATCTGCTTCTTGTGTTGTATTCACCTTATACATTAACTCCATCGAGCCAAAAGGGTGGATAAAGAAGAGGAATTAACCACATCCAGCTACAGTAAATTCTCACTTGTGTTAGCAAAAATGTATATTAAGGTTTAAAGTTTAAACAACGGATCAACATCATGGTACAAAAGTAGAAACCTATACATACTCCATTCTACTTCTAACCGAAGTCTGATAGCACTGGTGAGGATACTGAAATACTTTGAGTAGATTTTTAACTTCACATTTTTAGCCACATAATGAGAAGAGAGACATTGGAGAACATCGTGACAACTGGTAAGATCAGTGGAAAGAGGTAGAAGCAGACCAAGAGAGAGATGATGCTGGATGGGCTGAAACGATGGCATGGAGGGATATCATCAAGACAGTTGTTCCAGGCAAGCATGGATTGTGATCTGGGGAGGTGCATAAGCGCCTCCGCCAGTTGGCAAGGCACATGATATTGATGGAATTTTTTTTCAACGTGTGCAGCAATACACATGGGCATCCAGTCTCACTACCCAGAGGCCAGGGGAAATTACTAGGAAGTCCTAAGTTTTAAAAATCCTTGCCCTCACCGGGGCCTGAACCCGGGACCTCCAGCACTTATTGCGGACACCATGCTGTGAGACCATCCAGCCCCACAGGGACCAATATAATGGATGTATTAGGGCATCCCTGCTGAGACCAAAATTTCAACTTATTCTGTAGACAAATTAGCATCTCTGGAAATGGATTCATCCATTTCTGCCTGTTTTTGTTATTGATGTGTAGCATAACCACAACATTCCTACTAAGGAGATAGTCTTATTTATTTCTACCTATTACCTGGCATGTAATCATAGCTGCATTTGTCTTCTTGTACTATGATTTTGGTTTTAATGGTTGTTTTTGTCTATGTGCATGTGTGCGCGCACATGCGTATGTAACCAACAGTTGTACTCTACTAACACAGTTGTGTATGTACATATATACATGTGTTTTTCAGTGTTACATGAGTAGTTAACATTGGTAACTCTGCTATCACAGTTGTACGTTAAAGTTGTTTTTATTATGAGTAGTTAACAATGGTAACTCTACTAATAGAAGCTACTGTTTCTACAAACCAAAAGCACCCATTTTCTCTTTAGAATGATGCCAGTTTCATATCTACAGTGTAGCTCATCTGTCACTGTATATGTTTAAATGCAGCTTTCAACCCAGCATTATTCGTAACTAATATTTAGCTAGAACATTTTGTACACATTTCTTTTTTTAATTAATCCTCATGTTGGGGCACTCTGTATGTAGCAGACCTTGAAGTCGACCCCTCCATTTTGTTTTTAAAAATATGTATGGAATCTAGTACTTGACATTCATTGTAGGGTTTCTCTTGAATGTCCTGCTTCCCCATTCCATTTGTTTCCCTTCTCAGTGCCTGCTTTGTGATTCTTTATTTCATATTTTGCCCAGTATGTTGTCTTGTTTTTGTGTGTGCACATACATGGATGCACCCCTCACAAAGGAAGTGAGTACACATTTGCCATCAATCTCATGAGGTTGCACGCATGATTTCATACCGAGAGCACGAAAATATACCTCATTTGACTAGTACATTCTTCAGTTCTGACTTGGCTTTGTTTTGTGTGTGATTGTTGTTGTTGTTGTCAATAAAGAAATACTAATTTAAATCTACTCTTGTATTTACTCTCTGTACCTGTAAACTCTTTTTGTTATGTGAAAACTAAAACCAAGTTAATATGGAACTGAAAGGAAACTCCTAAAAACAGTTAAATTTGTCATAAGAACTCGTCTGTCATTGTACATCAGAAAGCGAACACAAGAAGAGGAGGAAACTAAACCACCTGAAGTAATTACCCAAAAGTGATGTTTTCGATTAAAATCTTGGGATATGTTGGCCTTGTGATTTGTAGGAGGAAGTATGCATTTCATTGTGGTATTGTTTGACTGCTGTTTGTAAAAAGATGTCATTACGTCATCTACTACAATGTGTCAGTAATACTGTGTCGTTTAAACACAGCAAATTATATACAGACATTTGGCGTTTTCTAATTTTTACTGAAGCCACATCTTGACATATCTTTTTTATTTATGCTTATGTTTATGTACAGACATATGCAAATAAACATACACACAATTACATGCATGTGTGCACCTATATTGTTAGTGTGTGGACATGTACATAGAGCACACCTCACTCGTTACCTTATGCTGTTATGTTTCTTATGTTGATCAGGTGCAAGTTTGGACAGCTTGGACCAGGAAAGGGACAGTTTAACTCTCCTCATGGTTTCTGTTTGGGTGTTGACGAAGACATTGTGGTTGCTGATACCAACAATCACCGCATCCAAGTGTTTCAGAAGACCGGGGACTTCAAGTACCAGTTTGGAATACCAGGTAACACAAGAGTGGGGTTTTGTGTGTGTGATGGGCCATCATTTCTTTGTCTTCTGCATTTGTCCTTCAAAGGGCAGTTGGCTGCAGTGTCTGCATCTTTCAGCCTAATACGTCCGATTTCAGCAAACCCATGTCTCAGAGTAAGGGTGCAATAAAATAAGGGGCAAAATTACGCCTTATAAACAACTAATATATTTACAGATGAGCTTATTAAGGTCTGTTCAAATTTAAGAGCTGGAATGACATGATACAGGATATGCTGATTGTTTCATTGAAACACAAAAAATCCCACATGAGAATTTGATTTGATTTGTTTTTCTTATAGATTGAGTGCTCTTGTGACACATGCTGCTTTTATTTGTTCAGCTTGTTTACCTCTCTGTAAATTAAATTCTCAGTATTGTTCTAAAAAGAACTATCCCTATTGCCTTCAGGTTCTTCATCGCTACATTACTCATTGTTCATTATTCACATCTAGGCAAAATAGATCTTGCACAGCTTTTCAATGAGCTGACTTTTGTGATGCTTTCCATGCCAGTGGCATATCTGACATGTGGTCCCTTTGACCTCCCAGGTCATTTCATTGCAGACTGGGTCAGCTTGGGAGTAAGTGTCATTTTATAAATATCCGCACACTGAGTTGCTTGTATTATTTTTATGTTTCATAGCGCTGCAAATATTTATTTTAACCATTTCTCCGTAGGAATTCTTGGGAAAACTATGGGGGTAAAAAAACGACTAATAAACTAACTCTCTCTCTTTCTCTCTCTCTCTCTCTCTCTCTCTCTCTCTCTCTCTCTCTCTCTCTCTCTCTCTCTCTCTCTCTCTCTCTCTCTCTCTCTCTCTCCGTCTCCCTCCCTCCCTCCCTCTCTCTCTCTCTCTCTCTCTCTCACCCCCCCCCCCACACACACACACACACACACTTTTCATTGCACTATTTTCATTAAATATAATCATACCTGGTGCTAAACACTGCAAGCAATGAGTGCTGTTAATTAGGGCTTGAAGTGTCATGTAAATTTAGAAATATTGCTTTTGTAGTGGGCGACTGTGCTGGATTAGTGGTCTATCAGTGCCAAAGGCTTAAACCATGGCACTCTTTTTATATATATATTTTTTTTAAATCTGTATATGATCTACTGTCAGATGTCCTCATGTAGTTTAGATATTGAAAATACCTGTTTCATTTTAAAAGCCTTGCCATATATAAAGATAATTGACATGTGTACCTGACAACTTTCAGGTCGTGAGGAAGGTCAGCTGTGGTATCCCCGGAAAGTGGCGGTCATGTTGAAGACGGGAAAGTTTGTTGTGTGTGACCGAGGCAATGAGAGGTCCCGGATGCAGATTTTCAACAGAAATGGACACTTCCTGAAGAAAATAGCGATTCGCTACATTGACATAGTTGCAGGACTGGCTATCACTCCAGAAGGTCTCATGTCGTTGTCATCTGTGCTTTTGAAATTTCTGTGTTTAATTTATTTGGGGATTAGGGGTTGTGAAGGCAGTTTCAGAAGTCTAACATACCAGGTTTGGTTCTTAGCTGCAACCGATTTGGCAGCAAATTGCATTTCATTGATTTTGTCAACTGTGTGAGCAGTGACGGTTCATAAAAGTAGTGACAAACTGCTGAACGTAATATTACCAAATAAAAGCACAGACAGCAAATACTTGTTGATTTGTCACGTTCTATAAAGAATATGCAATTAACTTTTAACTTAAATGAAATATAACTATTTGAGATATTAGAAATATTGAGAATGATGATGGTTCATGACCAGCAGGTACAGGTCATCTTTGGATACCTCAGCAAGGTTCATCAGAGAGTACACACAATCATCATTAGTTATATCTGTCCACAGACGGTTGGTCAGCTGTAGAAGATAAACAACATTTCAACATAGTTTTGTTCAGATAAGATTAAAATGGTAAAAGGATATAGTTGGTTTAAAGGTGAGAGGGTTGGCTTTATTGTATCAGGTTTTATTCCACTGGGTTCTATTTCTCTCCGCAGAGTCACTGGTCATCCCTGAAAGCGTTGCTCAAGGCACTAAACTTCGTAGCTCTAGCGATGATCCCTAAAGATCTCGTTTAAAATTCTACTCATGAACTGACCAACAGTCCCGAAATGAACCTTCATATTGCAAGGAAGCGGCGTAACCACTTAGCCACAGCATAGCTTCTCAGTATATCATTATTATTAAATAGATCTAAGCTTAGGGTTGAATAATGTTGTGGCAGAATGGATTTGAGGTTCTGATACATATATACAAAGATGTACAACACTGTGCTTTCTGTGAGCTTTTTTTCTTTCCAGCATTCCAAGCCCTTGAGGTTCATTGCTGCAGATATCAGCTTCCTCCATTCATCTCTGGGATGTCTTTTTTGCAAAATATATTGCAACTGTAATTTATTCTTGAATGTTTCTGAAATCGTTTTCCGTAACTTTTCTTTATTTTGCCAGGTTTGTTGAAATCTTGCAGTGATGAAATGTACCAATGATTTGCTCCACAGGTCACATTGTGGCTGTTGATAGTGTCTCGCCCACTGTGTTTGTTATCTCGGAGAGCGGTGACCTCATCAAGTGGTTTGACTGCAGCGACTTTATGCGGGAGCCATCTGATATTGCCATCAACAATAATGAATACTTTGTGTGTGACTTCAAGGTGAGTGTCTTTCCAGCATCTTTGAGCTGGTGGCATACAGCCATCCTCTGCTCCCCATGTGTGTTCCAGGGCCACAGTGTTGGTGGAGAATATATATATATATTTTTGTTAAAAAGCCAGTTGTTCCTATGATGAGCATACCCCCTCTAACAAGCATGCCATAAAAGGCAACTTGTTAAGGGTTTGCTGAAGTCAGATGTGTTAGGCTAAAACACACACATGCAGCTTTTCAGTAAACCACAACACAAGAGTGAATGCAGAAGAAGAAGGATTGTCCCTCACTGTCACTAGCACTAGCAGACTGCTTGTATAAACTATAAAGGTGTACTTTCGCTTCTCTTTTATATAATAGAATTTTTAAAAGGGTGTAAAGTTTATATTGGATGTCATTTAAGTTTGTTTTATGCTATGGGGCTCAGTCTTTTTTCACTAAACAGCTAGCCAAAGGGCAGGCAATCCAGCAGTACAACTGCTGTGTGAAAGGTGGGCTTTTGGAATGTTGAATGTAAGATGGGCCTGGCCTGCATGCCCAATTTGTGACCCTTTTGAAAATTAAGATGGTTTGTTTCACAATTGTTAGAAGGGGCTCCTGATGTCCAGCAAATTTTGTGTGTGTGTGTGTTAAATCCATTGCATTTCTGTTAGTTGTAAATTCTAAATAGCCAATTCGTAAAATGTCTCTGTAGCATTAATATTCTAAAGCCTGAATCCTCCTTTCCATTTCCACAATGAGAGTCCAACTCTCAGATCTGTATAAGAAAGTAGGCAATACCATAGATTTCTTCTTCGTTTTCGCCAGCTGTTAACTCCGGATAAAAGCTGTTTATCCACCTCTGGACTGCAGTCCTATTCCAGAACCTGAGTGTTGCGTGTGTATCCGTGTGACAGATCTGACTAATTCGTATGCAGACTGCTGGTTCCTTGCCTCTCGACTTCGAAGGAAGCTCCCAATTAGTCGACTCTTACCACATGCTATTGGGTAGGCAGTGGGTCTATTCTTGTTTTCCCTATAATAGGGCCCCGGAATCCACACAGGGTAAAGAGAGATTTCTGATGCATGCTATTTTATTTATAATGTTAAATTGCTTTTGTTAAATGCTTATTGTTATATTTTCTTTTTAGGGACACTGTGTGGTAGTGTTTGCTAGAGATGGCACATTTATGCGCCGCATCGGATGCGAGAACATCACCAACTATCCTAATGGCATTGACATTAGTGGTCATGGAGACGTGCTAATAGGTGACAGCCACGGCAACCGCTTCCATGTGGGGGTGTTCCAGAGGGAGGGATCACTCATTAGTGAGTTCCAGTGCCCCTACGTGAAGGTCAGTCGTTGCTGCGGGTTGAAAATCACGACCGAAGGTTACATTGTCACCTTAGCCAAGAACAATCACCATGTGCTGGTGCTGAATACCTTATATATACCATAATAATATTCATGACGAAGATCATATTGCTGCCTAAATTCTGTGTTGTGACTGGGGAAAATGCACAATAACGTATCCCATATAATCTTTACGTATTCTAACATAGGAGAATAATTCCATTCTACAGTATCTTTTCTGCATTTTGTTTTGTGATTTCCACTTTTATCAAAGCATGTACTAATTTTTATTTATTCATTTATTATTATTAATCTTTAAGTTTTATGCTTGCATAAATGTGTGATGTTGGCAACAGTATTGTATGACAGGTTGTCTGTCTTCTTGTCTTTGGGTAATGTCTCAGCTTGAGGTTTTTTTCCATGGAGACACCACATTTATTATAGATTCCATGTCTTTGAATGGTAAAAAACTTTCCTCTTTTTTTTTTAAAAATTATATTTATTGAAGGTTGGCTACTTTTCTCCAGCATTTATGAGGAAGCCCAGTCCCGCTTTAAATTATGTGTTTGTTTAACTGCATGATGTTGTTTGTGTGTTTACTGGCATGCAGTCTGCTGCTGTAGGTGAAAGCTTTAGCTGACTTATAGTATAGACGTCCAGGGCAGAGGTCCATTAGTCAGTTTAGTGCCTTGCCTTTTATTCATATACTTACCCTTTTTTGTGGCCCACTGTACATGTCTGCTTCTGCGAGAGCTCTCATCTGACCCAGTCCCGATTCCACCTGACCAGCATTGGACAGCAGGCTACTTTGTAACCATTTGAGTCTCTAGTAAAATCTGGACACAATTGTACTTTACTGCAGTACGTCATTGAAAACAATATTGTAATACCCTTCATTATTGTACCAGCGTACGTTACAGCAGATTGCTTTGTAACTGTAGAGTGCCCTAATATAACTGTTTTATATACATTTGAACGGTATGCTCCGGAGGAGGATCAAATTTTTTTTTTTTTTAGAAATTAATATTTTTGTGTTTTTAGTTGACTGAGTCCTTTTGGCACTATTATGCTAAGACGTGGAATCATTTGGTAATAAGCAAGTACAGTATTTAGTTCCATGTTAATCTGTCTTTTTGGTACTATTTGTTTATAATTATTTCTGAAATGTATTACGAGATTTGGTATTTCTTAATTACTTTGCCTAGTTTTAACATTTATAAAATATTTTGTCTGTGTTGGGTATTTCCAACAATATTTTTCTATGTTGGATTTTTCCAAAATATTGTGTCTATATTATTAAGTGGGTTTTTTTCACATATTTTACATAGATTGGGCATATTTCCCATGGTTTTTTCCTAGGCGGGATATTTCTCAGATTGTGTGCCTAGCTTTGGACATTGTCACCCTAAAAATTCTTTTTAAGGAAAGTGTGATCCATTTTTACAGCAACAACTAGATTGTAGTGGTTATGGTTCATGTGACATAATGTGGTGTGGGGAGTCTCTGTCAGGTTATTAAAAGAGGATCCCATCTCCCCTCCCCCCACCCCCGTTAGTGCTTTGATCTGGCATTTGATGCTTTACTCATAATCCTGCTTAAAATCTCATTCGACATTCGAAGGTGCTTTGAACCCAAGACCTTTGCTTGGTAGTTGAGCGTCGAGCTGGTAAGCTGCTGTAACTTCCATATAGTGGCTATTGGAAAATCACCTATTGATGGGTCCACATTGGGGGGAGGGGGGTGTTGAGGTAGATGATTTAGGGTTTTACTTTGCCACCACACACACATCACTGAGAATTTAAACTAGTGTCTCCCCAACGAGAGCCCAGCATACTTAACTAGCTGTTACATTAAAGCATTCAGAAGGTCAAGAAATGTTCTGTGGTGACAGGAATCCACTGTTGGATGCCAGTCCAGAGGTCTTGAGTTCGAATCCGCTTGGATGCCAAATTTTGTTTTAAATATTATAATTGACCCGGCTCAGAGGTTAACCCAACTTGGGGTCCTGGTAAAGCTGGCCAGAATGATGTTGACCGCATTGCCCATTGAATGACCATCTAAACAGATTTGAGTCCTGCATCATATACCATCATGCACACTGGTGTGGAAAGGGCCCGTTCCTGTTTTTGCCATTTGTGTCAAGGTCAGCTGACTGACTAAATCACCGACATTGACCACTCGGGCACATAATCTGAGACACCGCTGCAGTATTCTCGCAAGTATTGATTGCCATAGCTGTCAAGGGTGTACAGATGTAGACATGTCATAATACTGTGTATATACATTTTTTGGAAACATAATTTTCATTCTGCATTGTAGAAAGACATCATTTTGTCTTGAAAGTGCTCAAAGAAACTACTTTTATTGTGTCCTTTTGTGCAAGTGTGTTTTTTTTGTTGTTTTTTTATTTAAATTTTTGTTTTCTGTTTTGCCGCTAATATAGAGCATGATTAGGCACACAAATGGATAATTGTGTCCTACCATACGCGTGGGTTCAAGGGCTCCATTGCTAGGCAAAACAAAAATAGACCCACTGCCTTCCTAACTGTCATAGGAGTTGTCTGTTGGGGAATATCTTTGAAGTCAGAGAGCCTCTGCCCGAGAGACAAGGAACCAACAGTTTGCATACAGTTAGGCCAGATCTGTAAAACAGGTGTGCATGCAAAATTCAGGTCCTTGAACAAAGTCTAGAAATGGATGAACAACCAGGACTTTCCTCCAGGGCTTACAGCCAGTGAATGCAAACAAACGGTTTAGTCAAAACATTAATGTAGGTTTTGTTCCAGTAGTAAAAAGTCCACATTTAAAAAAAAAAAATTTTTTTTTGGAACAAATATTCAAGTCTCTTAAATGGCTGCATAGGAAAATGTCTACTTTTACTGGAAATAGTACAAGAAATTCAAATGCTGGTATAATTTTGAGGGGAAACAAGTATAATTTTCGGTGCCATGGCATGTGGGCTGTGGTTAACGATTTGGTGATGTCACCATTACACACATTTTTTAAACAAATAATATTAGAATCTATGCATAGGAAATCCGACACCCCCCCCCCCCCCCCCCTTTTTTTTTTTAATAATTATTATGGAAAAATTGAGTTGAAAAAATAAGTTTTTTAAAATGCATCTTTATTTTTGAAATATTTATGCCAGAAATGATCAGCTCTGAAAGTTCAAACATTCCATGTAAAGATCAAATTTTTTAAATATTTTTTTAATTTTATTTTATTATTCTTTTGTTTGAGTGTTTGTTTATGATGATGCTGTTGTAACAGTAATGTTCTCAGGCCATTGTTTCCATGCCATCTTGTCATCACCTTGTAGAGCACCATGAAAGTCTTGCATTGTTAGCAGGAGTTCTCATGTTTTCGAATACCTACTGTCGAAATTCTTCCTGGGTGACAGCTGAAGACGCTGTATTTTACACCAATGATATACACTGCATACAAGCTAGTCTACCATATCGCATGTGAGACCAGTGACAAGGATAAAATCGTATAATAAGGTGCACATTTTACTTGTATTTAAATAGACTTCAGGTGTAGCTGTTTCAAACGTTCTCCTTAACTGTGCCAATTGATATCTATGTGTGTATATATTTATACATACTTGTTTGTGGTGGTGTTTTTTTTTTTTTTTTTTACTTAAAAAGCAGACCCATCAAGAGGTTGTTTGCTCTTTTTGGGCTCCTGAACCGTCAAAGGGAAATGTTTAGTGGGCAGATTTTTTGGCAATTCTTGAAATAGTTTGAATCATGTCTGATATATTTACATTTTAGATGCGTTTTCCTTGTTGAAGAGCATATTACAATTTACTCAAATTATACGACCAGTTCCTATAGGCTACGTTTTTTTTTTTTTTGAGTGATAGTGATATCTCACTTGAATAGCTCTTTAGAATGATATAATATATAAATATGTGTAATATAATATACTTAAACACTGCTATATTTTGTCAAATATCAACATATTTTTATTCTTCACAACCGCTACATCTTGTCATTGTTTGATCTTTTCTTAGATGAATACATTGAATATACTTAAGGAAGGATGTTTTTTAACCTTGCGAGAAGTTGGGTATCAGGTGTGTGGTATACAGTTGTCTATACATTAATTATGCAACCTTGTACTCAATCTAGTCACATATACAGAAACATGACTGCTTTCTTTTTCATTTATTTTCCTTCTCCCACATTTGATTATTATTTGGAAAGGGTTCTGTGTTTATTTTGTCATTTTTTGTGTGCCTTAAAGTGTTTTGTTCTTGAGATAGTATTTGTTTTAAAAAGAAAAGAAAAAAAAAAGCAAAAGACATTGGCTTGATGGAAATTTTGATTGTATTACACGTTTTAAGTGGATAGTCGAACTAACTTTATCCGATCGTAAGCAAAGTTGGGTGTTGTTAGATTTTTTAAAAAGTTTTTGTTTCTCTGAGTATTCTATATAAGCATACATGTGTTTATATTTGTACTGTAGGAGACTACACGTCTGTATCAGTGACATGTATTAAATGACAGTGGTGTTTTCAGGAAATGTTGAGACAGAACTCTTTGGCAAATTTAGCTTACACTTATTTGATCTCACTGTGACAGAATAGGCCAGATTTCTCCTGTTCACCTGCCATTGAACAGAGACTGGGCTGTTGTAAACATGACTAAATTTATAGGGGGAAAGAAACAGTTCTGACAGTTTATATTGAACAGGTGTCATTCTGTTACCTGTAGCTACAATTTTACGATGCTATTTTTTTTTTTTTTTTTTTTTTGACTGTTGTTGAGATTCCTGATTTCTCTGATCATATTCAGAGTGTATTTGTCACTGTTTGTGAGTCCAGGGTTTTACACTTCAGTGGGTGGAGCACCAGTCTTTCTGCTCCAGCATTTGCTGACTTGAGTCAGAACTTCATTTACCACTGTCGCCTTGTGGCGTGTTATTTTCAGCACTGTGTTTGTGTGCTGAAACATGTACAGATTTTTGTTCCGGCTAATTAATTGATCTCTCTTTCTCCAATTTTTTTTTTCTAAAGGTTTATATAATTTCAACAACAACAAAAGAAGAAGAAATTATTTGTTCATGTGTGGTCAATACTGACTTACAGTCACTTCAAGT